GATATAAACTAGAATTTTATCCGCGCGGATCAGCGGATTCAAAATCTGGATAACGCGTTTCTGGAACTCGGCGGGCGCCTCCGAGTACCCGAAAGGTAAGCGTGTGTACTCGAATTGCCCGTCGGGCGTCGCGAACGAGAAATACCGCGTTGAATTCGCGTGCACTTTTATCTGATGGAACCCATCTTTCAGGTCCAATAACGTAAAAACGGATTTATTTGATAGACGCGACAAGCAGTCTTCAATCCCCGGAAACGGGTACTTTTGTTTCTCGACTCTAATGTTTAGCGGCCTTAAGTCGACGCATAATCTAATATTACCGTCTTTCTTTCTCACAGGGATTATCTGCGCGCAATACGGTAAGACGCTCGGACGGATAATTTCCCGCTTTAATAGATCATCTGTGATCTCCCTAATCTGAAGGCGCTCGGCATATGCAAAAGCGTTGCGGCGCAAATGCATAGATTGAAGGATCACGTAAGATCACTTCTACTTCATAATTATTCTCTATCGGCTCGACATTCTTAATTTCTAAATCTATTAAAACGTTGATTAATTTTTCCTTATATTTTATATTTACATTTGTAAGGCTATCTTTTATTTTATCGTGAAGGTCGTGCGTTTTATTATCCTCGATACAGAGCGGCAGTTGCTCGAACAAGCTGACTCGGCTTGCTGAGCTTTCCTTCGACGCGTCGTTATGTTTGTAAATTAAAGTGAGTCGGTTATTATCTATGAAGTCGCGACCTAGGATCATATCCCCTGTGTACGACTCGTTTAATATATACAGAGAGACTTCAAACGATTTGTTTTCGATATCTTTAATCGTTACTCTCGTCGGCACGATTCCTTCGACCTTCAACGGTTTTGTACTTAAATTAATTAACTTTCTATCTGATGGGAGAATCTTTTGATTTTTCGGCATTATGTATTTGATAAAAACCCTACGATTTACAAAAGATACCGGACTGCCGGTATCGACTAACGCCTCCAAATCGCACTTTTCGTTGCAGATGCTCGTGATTTTTGTTGTCGGCTGAGACAGCTCTAATCTGCCCTCGGCTGGTTGAGCGACGATCGCTACGACGTCATCGCTTGACGCCGCGGACGAAACAGCTGCTGCTGTATAGCCCGTTGCGTGACGTGCCTGCAGCGTCGGCTTTCCGTCGCCCTTGCTCTTAAGCACGGGGCAATCAAACTGACGGTGACCCTTTGCTTTGCAATAGAAGCAGGTAGTGTCACCTCGACATTCTTTATGCGAATGCCCTTTTTTTCCACAATTTCGGCACAGATTAATGTTTAAATTTCTCGGCGCATTTATCGACGAACCGTGCTTCCGTTCGGCATCGACTCCACCTTCCGCGATACGGCGCATTTTCACCAAAAAATCATCGACGGAGTCGCCCACGATCGAGAGAGCTATGGCTCTCAACGAACTCTGCGTTATTCCGCCGATCAGTAAATGAATAGAGTTTTTTATTGGCAAATTTAGATTGTTCAGTAACGCGAGTTTGGCGATCGCGTACTGGTCGAACGTTTCCTTATGCGCGTTCCATTTTCGCGCCTCGACTTTCTGCATCGCTTTATAGAAAGGCACTTTTTTCTCAAACATTTTATCTAACTCGTTTTTTAGGGCCAGCCAAGACCCGATCACATCGCCCGTCTGGATCTCGTACCATTGACGAGCGAATTTCGTCAATTTACTGGACGCGGCCAGCAACGTGATTCCGTCGGAAGCGCCATGAATGACGGCGACTTGGTCGACCCGTCTCGACCACACGGCAACGTTTTCGTCTTCACCGCCACTAAACTCCGGAATCTGAGAGGTCAGCCAACTAACCGCATTTCCCGCCGGTAATGTATGCGCACTGATATTCGTTTGTCCGTTTAACGCAGAATTAAGATTGTTCGACACATTACCTTCGTTTCGGCTTAATGATTCAGGGCTACCTGGGTCTGCCTCTCCGTCTGACTGGACCACCTGGACGTTTCCCGCCCTCGGCGCCAGCTGCTGCAGTAACTGCAGCATGAACTGCTGGTTCTGCTGCTAAAGCTCCTGCTGTTGCTTCTGCATCTCCTGCTGTTGCCTCATCATCGTCGCTGAGATGTCCGACATTGCCTGACGGAACATCTCCGAGGTCAACGGCTCCGCCACGACTGTTCGCTTTGCAGACGATGCTGCTGGGACGTGGACCTCTCCAACGGCCTGTTGATCGTCCAACGTCCTCTCCGACGGCCCAACCCTCTCAAGGTGGGTGAGAATTTGCTCAATAAGGAGGTCTCGGTCATTAGTTACCGGTAATTGATACCGCCGAGCCTCCCTTTGGATCGCTTCTAACGAAGCTTGCTCCAAATCTTCACGATCTAGCATCGATCTTGTCTTCGGCATGATGCTTGCTCGTCACGACTTGACAATGTCTTTTAAATCGTCTTTATTTTATTTCAGACTCGAAGAGCCTTTTTCGACTTCGGCACGACACGGCAGTGATTCTAAATCGTCTTCGACACGTCGCGGGCTTGAAAAACCCTTTTTAAACTCGACACGACACGGCAATAATTTAAAATGTTCTTTGACACGACACGGCTCAAGGATAGTGTTATCCCACTTCTGAGCTGTAAGATTTTTACCAATAATACGAAAAAATCAAATAAAGAAATATAAAATCTCTTATCGACAACGACTTTCTTGTTTAAAATGATCGGACGGTTAGTCCTCTCTTCGACCTCGTTTATTATTAATAAATAATACCGGCACCAGTAAATGTTGTCAGGATCGACTGTTAAAGTTAATAGGAAGGCTCGACACTGCTTGAAATTCAATATACTTTAGTTCTTTAATGAAACACAGACTGATATAAAAGTTTTACAGATAATGATTTCAGAGATATTTTACAAGTTCCGATAATTGAATTAGACTTCCGATAGGCTCTCCACTTGTTCAGATTTTCGACTAACGCTCACGGCTCGACTATAGAGAGTGCGAACTCGATCTCCGGTTCCCCGCAGGTCGACTTCTTCGAAGATTCTCGAATCTTTTATCGGTTATTATTTGAGATAATAAAAAGCAAGGAGCGGGAGCGCGCCCACGCAGGATCGATTCTATCGAGGCGCTGCTCTCGATCATCTGGCAGCCGTCCGCTGGCGCCGTCTATCGTACATTTTTGGTCGCATCTTTCAAGGTGTAGTAAGCCTTTAGCCTTTAGGTCTAAGCTTTAAGCTTGCTTTGAGCCTTAAGCTTTAGAAAATGTTCTTACAACATGACAATATACAATGTGCTCGAGTCGTAAGACGTAACAATCAGTGAAATACAGTCAAGGTGACAGCTGACAGCAAGTTATAGGTTATGTTTGCATTCTTCAAGAATGGAAAATAAAATATTACCCCTTCTTACCTTGACCCATTTGCAAAATGTGCTTATATATATATATTTAAGAAAAAAGAATCGAAGAAGGTGGTGGGTACGATACATAAATCAACAAAGAGCTCAACAAGGAATATATAATAATATGTTCAAAGAGTTGAACTTCACGGATGAAGAACAATTTTTTGAATATACCAGAATGAACATAAGGCAATTCGATTATCTGTTCTCTTTGATTGCGCCAATGTTACAAAAGCATAGTTTAAGGAAACCTCTACCTGCAAGACTTTGCTTAGCTGTGACTTTGAGTTTTAATCTTTAAGAGCTGGGATCTGGCCAGCTCGCTAAAAGCTTAGAGATTAGAGCTTAAAACAGCGCGGGCAACATCTCAAACCGGAAATACGTCATACTTTACGGCTTAGAACAGAAAGTTAAAGGCTTACTACACCTATTGTAGATCGGGCCTGATACGCGGGCTTTAGAATGACTTCATGGTCGGTATTTATAGTTGGGTCAAACTTGCACAAGTACATAACATATGCATAAAGAAATTTTCTTATTTATTTGTTATGGACTATACGCACGCATGCACACACACACACACACATGCACGCACGCGCATACATGCATGCATGCACACACAAACACGCCACACGCATGCACGCATATTCATGCATACGCATGCACACTTAAGCCGGTTTCAGATTACATATTGGAGATTAAGATTAAAAAATTAAAGATTGAAGATTACTAGAGTCACACTACAATTATAATTGTATTGCAATTGATAATATGGCAGAGTTCATAAAATAATTTAATTTAGTGAAATTTTAGTGATTCTTAATATAATTGGGCCTATCTAAACAAACTTGCATAGTCGCATAAACACATGCATAAGAAAATCAACCAATTTCCTTATGCATTTGCTTATAAACCAATGTTAAAGTCTGAATAGGCCCTAAGTAGTACTTTTTGTTTATTTATGTGAAAAAGTTTAGTTCTATTTGAAAAATTGCTTTTTGTAGTTTAAAATAAATTTTATATGCAATTTTTTAATTAAAAGACGGCATTCAATTTTTTGATATCTTAAATAAAACATTATTTATTATCTGTTCTTGAAATAAGAATAGACTATGGGCGGTATTCATAGTCCGTTCTTATATTCAAGATTGTCTTAAGCATAGATTTATATTCACTCTCTTCGTTACACACAATCTGTATATGACTGGTATTCATAGTCCGTTCTTATATTTAAGATTGTCTTAAATATTGTCTTAAAATGCTACGAACCAATCAAAAAGCCATATTAGTATCTTAAGACGACGATGACGACGACTTAAGACGATCTTAAATATAAGAAATGACTATGGCTGAGTTCCACTTGGTGATCGCAACGCTCGTGAACATTATCTATTTTTCTTTAACTTTCGATGAAAAACAAAGATAAAATGATTCCACAAGTGTTGCGATCGCCAAGTGGAACGTACCTTATGAATACCGTCCTATGTGACGAAGAGAGCAAATATAAGTCCATGCTTAAGACAATCTTGAATATAAGAACGGATTATGAATACCGTCCTATAAATACCGCCTCTTATACCATCTACAAATTCTTATGTCAATGGTTGTCGTAGCAAAGGAGAAGAAGGAAGATATCGCTTTACTGAATCATCAATCTGGTTGCTGAATCATTATCAGTGTAAGTACAACGCAATGAAAAAAATATTTACTGCGTTTGGACCTGAGCATAAAGATTGTCATAATCGTTTCCAATGAAGTCACAAAAGTAAATCAGCGTTAGAGTAAATGCTCAAAAATTAGCGTTAATGTATGTGACATTGAAGTTACATGCAACATGATGGAAATGGGACATGTACTTTCGACTTTGACTTACGTTTACGATTCCGTCGGAAAAAAGATGTAACAATCTTTGTGTTTAGGTTATATTATGGACCGTAAGATTACAATAGCCGTAAGAGTTTACAGTAAGAAAAAAGGCCTGTTCCACATCCGATACACGTTGCTGTCGGATGTGAGAATAAAAGAATTTCGAGTTTTTCTCATTGGATCATTAGTTGCTTTCCACTTTCACACAAGTGATACTGAGTTTAAAATTATGTGAGTATTTTATACTCAGGTAATAAATGTAATGACGTCATTGTTTAGTGAGTTAAAAGAATACGTAAGTTTATAACACATAGGTTTATAATCTCACTTTTAATGTGAGTCAACAAGACTCAGTAAAGCACAAGATCTTGAGGTTGTGCAGATTGTAGATAAAAACTCAGTTAAATCTTACTTGTCTTAAAATGAAAAGGAACGTGCATTCAACTACGTTATAACGTTATGACATATCACAAATGAGAATTATCTGAGTTTTGGCGTAAATGGAAAACAGCTATTGACTGCGTTTCAACATCCGACAGCAACATGCGATGTATTAGGCCTTCTACAATAGAATCGTAAGCTTTAAGCCGTCAGAAATTGACCGATTGTAGTCGATTATTTTTTTCATACTCGTTTGTGATTGATCAATTTTTATGGCTTAAAGCTTGAATTACCTATTATAGATCCGAGTTTATTGCTTATGGCTGAAGTATATAAAACGTGGATACGCGATAACTACCATCTTACGATGCTTTTGTAAATACAATTATTATAAATTACAAGAAATTTGATAGTACAGCATTACAATCATAATATATATATTTTATAAATTATAAATATTTCTAATATATAATTTAATAATTCATTGTATATATCGTATAATTATTGCAATTATTTTGACAGAAAAGTATATAAGTGTAAAATATTTTTTGTATTTTGTATACTATATAATCTTAGAAAACCTTTTTCACACGTGTAATACTAAAGAAATAATATATGCCAAGAATTTTCTAAATAAAGTATTTACAAGTGTGCTCAATAAATATATTTTAATTGTAACATACTTGTTTGACAAATTTCTCCTCCATTTAATAAACTTAAAAATTTTATATAATTTATTTAATCAATATTATTTATTGATTTATGATCAAGAAGAGTGTTTCATTTTTCTCAAATGTTTTTGTAATATTGATTTTTATTTTATCATTAATTTTTTCTAGATGAACAAAATACCTGGAAAGCAGCCTGGTACAACAGTTTATGTGTACAATGATTACACTTATAACAAAGATTCTCGCAATAATCATATTTTGCGATGCAGTACTCGTCGTTCTTCAAGATGTCCTGGTACTATAATCATTGATAAGAATGGTGAAATACATTTAAATCAAGAACATAACCATACTAACAATAAGACGCAATGGAAAATACAACAGTCTGCTATGATATTAGAAATGTTACAACTTTGCCGGGAGACAACTTTGCCTCTAAAAGAAATATTTGATAGTATCTGTAGAAAGTAAGTACATATTTTCTTTAGTCTTATTATTCTTTAATCTTATTAAGACAATTTTTAAATAAGCTAAAAAAATATCAGATGCATATGTGAAAAAAATGCTCTATAAAAAGATATTACTTTTATGTAACTTAACCTGTCAAAAATTTTATTTATGCCACCTGTTAGGTGTGAAATTAATTTACGAAAAATGTTATGAGAGTAAAATTTAGCAAAATCCTTTAAATTAATCTAATTATTAATAGACAGATATTAGACGTATTGTATGAAAATTGCTTTGTGGAATTTCACTCTCATAATATTTAATTTTATTTTTTTTGCCTATTAATTTTACACATGTCAGTTATATAATATAAATATAATTTAAGTTATACAATTTAATTTTATATAAAGACTAAATATTAATTTTATTATGTTTCTAAATGTTTTTAAATGTTTCTTTTAATTTAATATTTTTAATTATTTTATTTGATTTTTTCTTCATAATTCAATATAATGCATAAATTTCATTCTTTTTATTAACTTTAGAAATAAATAATTTTTCCTTAGTTATAATGTAATTTGTAATTATTGTAAATTTAATATGCAGATATCCTGAAGAAGCCATAACATTGTCCTATGCTACACTAAGGTGTACATTGTATCGTGAAAGAATTAAACTTCGCCCAAGTTTACCAAAAGACATGAAGACTCTTGCTGTGAGCTTATCAACATATGTATCTCTTGAAGGATTTTATAAAGGCAGTGTAACTTCTAATGATGGAAAAATAGCATTAATATTTACAACTGATACACTCTTACATGAATTAGGAAAGTCAACGGAACTTTATGTAGATGGAACATTTAATGTAAGCTTATGTGCAATAGAAAAATTAAATACTAATTTTTTTATATTTTTAAGCTGCTTTTTAACTAATCATAAGTCGACATAAGAATTATTTTATATTTATTGCTTGTTGGATATTTAACAAAGACAGAATATAATTGTCAATACTTGTGTTGACTTGTCTTATTAGCTGGAAAATAATCTTAGATAAAATATTTCATAAATAATAATATGTGATACAAATAATATAAACGTGATATATAAATGATATTCTGTGTTTTCAGATTATTAATGATATTCTGTTTTCAGATTATTCCATATGTGCCACAAATGAGTCAAATGTACACTATTCATAATCGGCATATAAACGTAGTGAGTACATTGTAACTATACCATTGAAATATATACCATACTGGAACGAGCACGCCTTGTTCTCGACCGGTCAGATGGAGATAGGACCCGGATCTCTCTATCTAACCAACAGTCTCGGAATGTTTTCAGCTAAGAGAGTAGACGAAATAGAAAGAGAAATCCG